TCAAAATTTCTAGCACATCCTCCTTGCTAACATCAACCTGTTCGAGCCTGTTTCACACTGTCCTCACAAACGTCAAGGTCTCTCTCACTGGTGAATACTGAAGCCAAGTATTCATTAAGGGCCTCCCCTACCTCCTCTGACTCTGTGCACAAGTTCCCTCCACTATCCCTGATTGGCTCTACACTCATTCTAGCCATCCTCTTGTTCCTCACATAAGCATAGAACGCCTTGGGGCTTTCCTTGATCCTACCCCCCAAGGTTTTATCATACTCCCTTCTAGTTCTCCTAAGTCCATTCTTCAGTTCCTTCTTGGCTACCTTGTAGACCTCTAGAGCCCTGTCCGATCCTTGCTTCCTCAACCTTAAGTAAGCTTCCTTCTTCTGATCCGAATTGGTGCTCCATAGATCTTGCCTAATAGCATTGTAATTCCCTCTCCCCCAATTAAATACTTTCCCATACCATCTGCTCCTATCCCTTTCCATGACGATAGTAATGGTCAGGGAGGTGTGATCACTATCACCGAAATGCTCTCCCAACGAGAGATCTGACACCTGGCCTGGTTCGTTGCCAAGCACCAAATCCAATGTGGCCTCCCCTCTAGTTGGCCTATCTACATATTGAGTCAGAAATCCATCCTGGACACACCTGACAAAATCTGCTCCATCCACTTAGGACGTTCCAGTCTATATTAGGGAAGTTGAAGTCACCCATGACAACAACCCTATTACTTCTGCACCTTTCCAAAATCTGTCTCCCAATCTGTTCCTCAGTGTCTCTATTGCTATTGGGGGGTCTATAGAAAACTCCTAATCAAGTGACTGCTCCTTTCCTGTTTCTGACTTCCACCCACACTGACTCAGTGGAGAAACCCTCCTCCATGACCTTCCTTTCTGCAGCTGTGATACCATCCCTGATTAGCAATGTCACTCCCCCACCTCTTTTACCTCCCTGTCTATTAAGATCAGGCCTCCTGGCTCAAAGATAGAATTATTACCACTATGCCCCAAGAACCCTCTCTCATGGCTATCAATATTTTTCAATTGAATGAAAAGCAGCTGCTGTTGGTCAATACTGGAGAGTCATTCCCAGTGCATTAAGTCCTTTAGTGTGATATAAATGGTGACAATTGTCATTGATCTGCGATATGACCATCTTCAGTGATATACACAGAGGTCATTTAATACAGAGACATTCACTAAATAGCTTGTCTCATTGCTAAGAAAGAGACACGACAGAATATAGTTTGCTCAGGTGGCCATTAAGGCTATGCCAAACGTAACACAATGTATCATTGACTTAATATGTTAGGATTTTTAAATTTATTTTCCA